AAAAATTTAAGGGGACGTTCCCCACCCACGTGTGACCCCGCAAATTTAAATTCAGCCTCCCCGTGCCCGCGGGTAACACGTACGGCCCGTGAATTTTTTTTACAGGTAAATTAATATCTCGGGAACCACAGAGTCTAGGAGGCTGAAATTTTACGGTAATGACCCCCCGCCCACGCTCAACCTTGCCCATTCAAATTCAGCCTTTCCGCACTCTCGGGTATTACCTACGGGCTAGTGAAAGTTTTTACGGGTGAATTATTATCTCGGGAACCACGTAGTCTAGGGAGCTGAAATTTCAGGGTAATGACCCCCTGCCCATGCTTAACCTTGCCTATTCAAATTCAGTGTTCCCGCGCTCTTTAGTTCACCTACGGCCTCGTGAAAATTTTGGCGGGTAAACTATTAACTCGAGGATCACGGAAAGATGTTCACTCTTCAAGGTTTCGAATTCAGCTTTCATGCGCTGGTACGTGAAATTTTTAACTGTATTCCAATGTTTGGACTATTTTTGCATAGGCTAAAGTACAAAGCAGTGAAAATCATTAATAAGCAATCGTTCGATGGGCTGAATTGCACAAACGCATGATCGCACCGGCTAGTCTGGTGCGCGTTGCTGTTTATTTATTTATTTATTATTTTTTTTTTTTCTGAGAGATTATTCCGCATTTATTACGTGAGATATGAAAGTGATATTTCTGTGCTTGTGGTATAGATTGAATTTTCGTGTTGGATCAAGAATTGTTCCCGGGACTTACAGGGTCGGGAAGTGAGGCTTGATTTCATGTCCGCGGCCGTCGTTGGTTTTCTTTTCACTTGAATAGGTTATTTCTTATGTAAGATATGTTTTCGAGTTCTTTTATCGGACCTGGACGAGGATGTGGATGTGGTTTGCTTAAGTAAGCGGGCACTTTAACCTCATTTCTTGTAGAAAGCAAGCGGTGACAAGAAAGACGATTGAGGAAAGCAGCATTTGTGAACTCATCGATATGCAATGTGCCATCGATTAATATTGATTGATGCTCTGCGGATACCGGTGTTCAATCTGGCACTAAATGCATTGCTGATGGACTTGACGTACTGCTAGCAAGCAGCATATATCGCTTCGGATTGTTTTTTCTTTTTCTTGCTTTAGTGTTAGCGTGTGATATTTTATTACTCTCGAACGGCTTTGCGTGATTTTGTTTTCCCACCATTTGATGGCATATTTGTTCGGCAGTTAAAGCACCATTAACTCCTCCGGTGGTACCAATCGTGAAGTAATATACGCGCATTGTTGTGCTTTCTCTTGCAATTCTGCAGGACTACAGTGATATGCGATTTTTCTTCAAAATGATTTTTCAATGTTTTTTTTATGCTGCTGATGCTGGTACGAGTCTCATTTTGCGTTCTCTCCCTCAACGCTTCTTTTTTTTTTTTGTCGCTTTTAAATGCTTGCTTGCACAATAATTTATTCAAAAACATATTACGATGAGCCCATGTCTGAATGTATGCTTGTTTTTTCATATAACTCATCTCCAAAACTACGAATAAAAGCATGACTATTTATCGTGGACGGGAAAAATGATTTCAACTTTGAGCTGCTACTTTTTTTGTTTCAAATTACGACCTTAGGCCGAAATTCATGCCAATGCTACAAACTGGAGAGCCCGGAAAGCCGTCAACAGATTTGGGGAATTAACAGGACGTGTGTTTTAGGGCATTTTCATGTACAGCGCAGTGGCGGCAACTTGTCAAAAAACTTCTGAAATGCAACGACCCCTGTTGATGGCAGTTTTATTTGCTTGCGTTGTAATAAATTGCAGAGCTGTTCGTCTGTGCGCCCTGCCGCTGAAATCCCAAAACCACCTATGTGGGAGTTGGAAATGGTAGTGCTTGGGTTTCAGACGAGTGCTTGTTTAAAGCGCCTTCCTCCTCCCTCCCCTACTTCCGGAGTGTAACTCTATTTCTTTGTACTTTTTGCTACGTTCAGCACATTAATACGCTTCTGTAATATATAAACTTACACTGTAGCTTCGGAATTCACCACATTACGGTGTTTGGTGGCTTCATCATTGATGGTTGCAATTTGCAAACCCGTTTTGTGAATCGTCAAATTTCTGTTCTTATCAGCGGCTATGGAGGTACCATTTAACAGTGGTATCAGACCAACTACTGCATGTCCCACATCCTCCTTTCTGAGAGATTTCCGTCCTTTCAGGATCACCAGCTTTGGGGCATCTCCATTGTTTTGAGAATTGTACCACCCAGTCCGAACAAAAAATATTACATCGCACCGAAGAACTGGTATGAGAACACTGTAGTTGTTCGGGTACTGCATCTGCTTATCCGTGTTATTCACATGGCGCTAAAACATGGGAAAGTCGTTGGCCCTTTCTCCAAGACTTCGCTGATTGTGTGCAAATGTGAAGACATGAAACCACCTTTATTTGACGAACATTAGTACACAGAATAATGCACCTCTGGAACAATTATTACGGGATTTCCCCGGACGGCGTCACCAACCTGGCTAAATGCTTCGAACCAGCTTGCTATGCATGAGGAAGTGCTGATAGCAGTTTGCGCTGTGCCCTGAACAAATGAATTGGCAAAAGGCAGGTAAGCCATTGGATAGAAGGGATACTCGTCCTTGGAACTGCTTACCAAGGATGAACGAGAAGTCGTAAAGTACTCTTGAGGCATGTTGTTAGTAAAGTGAAAGAGCCAAGGATTACCTGACAAATTAAAGGGCGGAAAATGTTGAAGGTGTTCGCCAGCAAGATAAATCTCACAGTGTGGGCGAAATGCGAGCTTGAGGAATTCCATTTATTCAACCCGCGCTTTCCAGGAACGACTCATATCTTATTGGAAAGACAGTTTCCCCGTAATCTCCCATCCCCCACATTTTCTGACGAGTGATACTTTAATTTCATTGAAACCCCAAAAACATAGGCGCTTTCAAAATAGGTCCAGTCCTTTGGATTTCTTTATCACGTTACACTGATTTCTGCAAAATTCAACAGTTGCCCTGATGGTTGCATTCGCAGGATCAAACAGTAATGAAATTCTACACTTTCTCTCACCGCGTCCTTTTCTTCTTGGCAAACGGTGCGACAAGAATTTCTCATGCTTTTCGAATTTCCTCCAGCGAGAAAATGATTCACTGCTACCCGAACCAAGCATATAAGGGATTGGGAGAGAACGTTTTCTCAAAACGACAGAGATCGAAATGCTGGGAAGAAGGGATATCGGACTGATGTCCTATCCACATTGGCATCCGTAAACACTGCAAATACAACGCATGTGCATTTTCAGGTGAAATCCACGGTAAAAAAAAAGACATCCAAAAAAAAAAACATAAGTGAGGGGTGGGTAATACCAGTGGTTTTTGCCCTGATATGGACACACTTCAGTTTCAGATTACTTTGCAGAGCCAAAATCACTAGTAGTAAGCGCACTTCTGCAAAAAAACTCTTCATTGCATAAGTACGAAATAAATGCCATGGGAGTTAAAAATGACTTGCGTATTACAAAAAGATTCATGTATGGGGGAGTGCGCCGATAAGGGCAAGGCAGAGCTTACAAAGTATCAGTAGCAAGAAATGAGCCGAAAGCAAGACCGGAAAGAGGGGAGATCGAGGTCAAAAGAGCACTGGAGATGAGTGTCAGATGCTTCAGGAGGACTTGAGTATGGTAATTGTTAAAGGATAATCACAGTTGTTGACAAAGAACTGTCAGTCAGATCACAATGAGAATATTACTGCAGCATTTGCAGTAGCATGTTATTTACAGATTATTGACAGCGCAAAATCAGTTGAATATCTACAAATGCACACCGACTGCCACCAGAACCAATTACAACTCCATTCCCTGCGTTTCGTCTGCAATGAACATCTCTGGTTAGCAAACTCTCTCATCACGTAACTAATTCAATGCAAACAGAGTTCAGTCTCATACGCTCTTTTCGAAAAACCGCTCAGCAGTTATCGGAGAAGCTGCTTCCTCATCATCTTGCACTTGCGTAGGTGCTAAAGACCAATAGCTTTGCGAAGAAATGAAAAGCTGGGGTTCAAACTGTCCAAACTGAATGAGCAACAGTACCTTCAGAAAAATCAGAAATAGTCGATTCGGTTTCATCGCCGCTCAAAGCACCCTGACGATCCTTATTTTCCTCAACAATGCTAGTTTCCCTAAGCGCATCCTCACTAGCGTACTTCGCCACATATTCTGCAATAGCAGTAAATATTAGCTAACTTAACGGGGTACAGAAAATAAGAACATTTTTTCATCCGCCAACCTCTGCACTTTTTTTTGAACTCTTCGGGCTTGTGAAGATATAACGCTGCTGCATCACCGTTCAGTGGATCCGTCGGGTTGGGGTAAGTCAGCAGCTGCGGCAGGAACGATTCAAAAATGTTCGCGAGATCTGCAAAGATTGAATTACTAATTGGACGTGGTTGGTGCAAACCGTAGCCCATATGCAGCTTGGGAGAAGAGGCTCTGGTAGAGGCCCCGTTGGGCCTACGAGCGTAATCCTGTAAAAACGAAACTCCTCCAATACCAAGAGTGTGAGTAATGGCTGACAAATAGTATCGGATGAAAATTCATTACGTTTGCATACAAGAAGCATTCAAGTAAGCAATTTCAGCCGACTTCTTCAGCAACTTCTTACCGTATAAGGCAGTCCAAGCCTGATTAATTACATCAAGGCAGACAGTGCCGGATGCTTCGTCGATGTTCGGGTGATAAATGCGATTCATGAAACCGATGGATGGCGACTTGAATGGATATTTTTCTGGCAAATCAACTCGAACACGCCAGACACCTCCCTCGTAGGCAGCTGCAACTTGCATCACATCACCACATATACATGCTCGCAAAGTGTAGTAGTAGTGTAAGCTACCTGCCACTTTCCAAGATGCCAACGTATGCCGCCTTACCCGGTACCGCTAATTAAAACTTTATCGTCTTACTGCAGCACGTATTTGCGTCATCAACGCAGCTTACTCTCTCAGCAGCACACTAGTGGACTCGTGCTGGGCACGTCTTCCCTTCTCGTTTTTCTAAAGCAAAATGCTAACTGAATCAAATTCCGTCAGCTGCCTGTGCGATCTTTCATCTCACCTAGCAGCAAACCTCCTTCGCTCCTAAAATCTGTAGATACCAAACATCCAAATAATTTAGGGACAGCAATGTAGGCCCCGTCAATCCAGCCGATTCTATCACTGCCGCTTCGACATTTCGTATTTGTTCTCTCCCTGAAAATTTTAGCTACTGGACAACACTCAGAGAGCACCAAAAAAACCATGTATTTTTTGGAATTTATTACCAAAATCTAAACTCCCCTCATCCAGTTTACGCATTCTAGTGATGAAATTTCTATTAATATGTTCGCCATGGGCAACACATCGGTGTACACAACATAATCGAGCTCCAATTAATAGTAGGTTACGCTCCAGAAAAACCGGGAATCGTGATGCGTGCAAACTTTATTCGCTCTCTTTTTTCGGACTTCACCTCCTCCGTTCCCGAGCTTCCGTCTCGAGAAAGCTTGCTTTCTCAAAAATACTCCATTGCTACCTACTCTCATATTCAAATATTAATAATGTGTGGTGCCAAAACTATTATTCAAAGCCAAAGAACTTGAAGCTATGTGACTGTAAGGGTCAGGTGTCGCGCTCATTTCTGAGTGCTAGTGAAGATCTACAACTGTCCACTTAACTGCAACAGTTAATCTCGAATCAGTGGATGTTGCTGGAGCTTCAGAAAGGGAAAGTACAATGCGCTTCTGGAAGTACGGTGAAAGCATGAAATTCTGGAAGGAATTGATAGAGGGGCAGAGAAGCAGCAGATCATTCAGTTCGTTTGGAAAGAGCATCAAAAATCAA